ATACAAGCATGGTCTGAGACTTGGCCCTTTTTTGCATATATAGTGATATGTTAGTCCGTGGTTAATAAAAATGTATCCATTTACTTTGAAACAGTTACACTGCAATGCAACATATTTTTCAAAATAACCAATTAGATAACTAACTTTTAATTGACTCAATACATGAGAAGAAAACCAAGAAAAAGAGAGAAAATCCCGCAAACATTTCCAGACTAATGATCCTTGGGATAGAAGAGAGACTCAGAGAGAAGCCAGAGTGGAAGCTTTTCCTCATAACAATCAGAACAAGAGTCCAAGAAGGGTGCTGTAGAGGAAGGTGCAAGAACTACTTTAATGCAGAGATCCAGCTGTGCAAAATAATATCTGTGGGCTGGGGCAAGAATTCCTTTCTGGTCCCCACCGTGCTCAGCAGGTGCCCTCAAAGATGAGCGATGATTTCCTTCCCTAACCTGCATTTCTACATAAGGTGGTTTTGGTTCGTTCAAGAAAGGCCAATCAATGTGTCGTGTATATCTTAGAGAAAGGCTTGCTCAGAGCTTGAGGAACCCTGGCAGCACAGCACTGAGAACAGAGCACATGCCTGTCCGACCAATGCTTTTAAAAAGGGCTCTGCCCCCAGAAGAATATTGTGCATTCCCCTCTTATCTTCTGGAGTTGGTTCACAAGCAAGGAAATTCACTTTCACTGTATTTATGGTGGAGATGAAGTTGAGGGGAGAAGGGATTGGCAGGCAAGCAAACCTACCCTTTGCCAGATGGAGAGAAGCAGTTAGGAGGAAAATCCAGTCAGCTCTCAAGCTTAGAGGTGCAAACTGCATATACAAAAAGGGGAGAATTGGGCTAAACATCCAATCAACCCTTCAGTGCAGGTGTCTCCTGCAACGGCTGCTCTGTCAACACTTCCGCGATGATGCACCTGCTACTGCTGAGCAGCTGTGGAGGTGAATTTTGCCTGATATCACCCATGTAAGGCCACGCCTTCGGGATAGGAACTCCTTCATTTGTCGGTACTGCACCAGCAGGGTGGTAGCACACCTGTCTGATTCCATTTAATGTTCATTGTCACTTAACCTAATGAAATCTTTAGCTGTGGGGAGATAGGCGCTGAGGCGCTTTGGTGATGAAGAAAGGCGCTCCACTCCTCGAGAACCCTGATTTTATTTTGTACATCAGGTTTAGATTGGTGGGGACCAGAAGCCATGGCTGTCAGATGGCTTTAAGCTACGTCACTTGTTGCCTTTGCTGAAGATCCCGTGGGCAGGGATCCGCATGAGGGTCACCATCGCGAGTTGCCTTTTTGGCAGAGACTCCGAAGAGTGAGCCAGCATGGAGCTGAATTACCATGTAGGGCAAGTTTGAGGCACATTAGCAATATCTTGTGTGGCTTGCAGTGAGTGGTTTGTGCTTTATCTGTTCTCTAGATAAAGTCTCTGATCTCTAGAGCTGCCCAGACCCTTAATTACTAAAGATGTTAAAATGTGTTTAAGTAATTGTGTCACTAGTTACATGTGGGTGATTAGGCCTCAGTTGGAATATTGTGTCCAGTTCTGGGCACCACGTTTCAAGAAAGATGTGGAGAAATTGGAGAAAGTCCAGAGAAGAGCAACAAGAATGATGAAAGGTCTAGAGAACATGAGCTATGAGGGAAGACTGAAAGAACTGGACTTGTTTAGTTTGGAAAGGAGAAGACTGAGACTGGACATGAGAGCGGTTTTCAAGCATCTAAAAGGGTGTCACAAGGAGGAGGGAGACAAATTATTCTCCTTGGCCTCTGAGGATAGGACAAGAAGCAAGGGGCTTAAACTGCAGCAAGGGAAGTTGAGGTTGGACATTAGGAAAAACTTCTTAACTGTCAGGGTGGCGAAACACTGGAATTTAGTTGCCTGGGGAGGTTGTAGAATCTCCATCTCTGGAGATACTTAAGATAGACCTGTATCAGGGATGGTCTATGGTACCGGGTCTTGCCATGAAAGCAGGGGACTGGACCTGATGACCTCTCAAAGTCCCTTCCAGTCCTAGTGTTCTAGGATTCTGTGCAGAGGGGGAGCCAGCTCTTAACCTGGTTTCCCGCACGTACGGGGAGCCTGCGTGTAACCACGAATGTTAACCCGTGAGCCCAGGCTCCTTGGTTAACCGTGTACACGGTTACACTTTCACGTCCCTATTAATTACCTTTACAAAATAAAAGGCTGAGTTTTAGATTTGTATCTCCTGACACTCCAGGGGGAGAGCGGGTGAATCAGACACATCGACAAGATGAGATTTTTTTTTGATGTTTTGTTTTCCACTTTTCAGAAAATGTTCTGAAGAAGAAATTGGATGGTGCCTGTTGAAATTAAATCGTGTCTGAGAAACACCCCATCACCCTGAGGCCTGTTTGACACAGAGAGTTCCCACAACGGCCTGCCTCTGCAAGTGATGGGCTCGGAGAACAGCGCTTTAAAGACCTGCATACTGGAAGAGCCACCTTACACGTTGCCGACTGGACTCACAATTTACCCAGCTGCGTTGCAAGATGGCAAGCCTGCCTCAGTCTTTGTGTATAAAGCAGAGAATGAAGACACAGTTAATAAAGCTGCCAAGGTAGAGAACGTGGTCGTACTGAAAACAGGCTTCTTTTGAATGATTGCGAGTCCCAGTGTGAGGCTGTACGGCAGAGGTCTCCAACCTTTTTATGGCCAAGATCACTTTCTGAATTCAAGGGCAACCTAAGATCTGCCCTGCCCCTTCCCAGAGAACCTGCTCCCCCAAAGCAGAGGGTAGGGATGTGGGGTGTTGGTTGTGAGGAGGGGGCCAGGGCTCAGGCAGGTGCTTGGAGTATAGGAGGGGGCTCAGGAGGCTGGAGTGGGTATGGGGTGCTGTCTCTGAAAGCGGGGGCAGAGCAGAGGGGTCAGGGTGCAGGAGCAAGTATGGGGCACTGGCTGTGGCAGCGGGCCAGGCTGGAGCAGGGATGTGGAAGGAGGTTTGGGGTTCAGGAAGGGAGTCTGGGGGGCTGAGAGGTGGCCTCCCACTGTGTGGTACTTGCAGTGGGCGGCTCAGGTGCAGTGAGTCTGAAGCAGGCTACCTGTCTGCCCTGCCCGGGGGGGACAGAGGGCATGTGGTTCCATGCGCGGCCCCTCTCTGCCGGCACTGCCCTCTCAGTTCCCATTGGCCACTGTGGTTTCCCATTCCCGGCCAATAGAAGCTGTAGGGGACAGTGCTCTTGCAGGCAGGAGCAATGTGCCGAGACTCCTGTACCCACCTCTGCAAACATGGAGCCGTGCTGGCCGCTGCCAGGAATGGGCTGGTTGCCTAGGGTCAGGGCAGGCAGGGGGCCGACTGGGAGACTCCCCAGGATCGACCATTCGGTGACCACTGCTGTACAGGAATGTCCTCAAAGCCCCTTGGGAGGCAGGAGGTTAATTCATACGCTGTTCAAAGGTCATGATCCCCGCTTGCAGCCAATCACAGCTCTCGCAGACAGGTTTGGCTTTGGGGTTTGTGTGACGGACGCTCCGCAGTGCGATGAAAATCAAAGCAGTGTGTGGTGGGGGAGATCCTGGCAGGAGCGGGGCTGGAATTTAGAATTCCCTCCAGAAAACTCACGCCAGAGGACACGCAGGTCGTGTGGTTAAGCACTTGCATGTGGGGAGATGCCAAAGTGATGAATTCCTGCTAAACCCCCTGCCTGCAAAGCATGTGGGATATAGACCAACTTGTTTCCTCCTTGTCTCTTTTGAAGCACCTGAAAACCTTACGCCACCCTTGCCTTCTGCGCTTCCTCTCGTGTACTGTGGAGCCAGATGGAATTCACCTGGTTACGGAGCGCGTGAAGCCTTTGGAGATGGCCCTGGAGGAGCTCTCCTCTGATGAGATCTGTGCGGGGATCTATGATGTATTGCTAGCGCTCATCTTCCTCCACGACCGGGTAAGCGCCCAAGAGAACAGATGTGCGTGTGGAAGGGTTTGGGCTCCCGGCGGGATTTGGTGAGGAGAGGGATGGCTTTAGCTTATGAGGATAATTGTGAGAGATTGAACCTTGAAAATCTCACATTTCTTGGTCACTGCCTGCTTTTCATTTGACTTCACTTGTGACAGGGCGTTAATAGCTATTTCAGATGGGCAGGGAATAGCATTTTCTACCATCTGGCAGCTGGCGCGCCAGACTTCTGTTAGACGGTACAAAGGATTCTCGCTAGCTGTTCTTAAGACAGTGAATGATAAAAGCATGTAACTGAAGAGCTGGTACGGGGAAGATAATTATGAGACTCTCATGTTTATGGCTTGTCAGAGATATGAATAAATGCTGCTGGAAAACTGGGATTTTCAGCCTAGCATATTTTGTTTATCGCTGTGCTGGTGCGTGAGATATCAGACTTTGCCCTTGGTGCTTTTGAGGCATGTGTCCAGGATTAAAAGTAGCAAAGCCAGCGTAACTTTCAGTCTCTGTGCTCAGATATGGAGGACCTCTTGGAACTTGAAATTACAGTGAAAAGACTGTGATATTTAACTGTGGCCTCCTTTAAAACCTCAGACTGTGGAACAGGTGCTGTGTGGCCTACTAAAACCCATTAGGGAAGCTGCGGCATAAATGCTGGTCTGCGTACTTAGCAGCAGCTTTTTCTGAAATCAGCCCTCCTAATTAGTGCTAACAAGGATTGAATGCCTTCATCTATCCCCAGGTCTATTGTTTATCTTGTATTTTTAGGGAAACCTAACGCATAACAACGTCTGTTTGTCGTCTGTGTTTGTAAGTGAGGATGGGCACTGGAAACTAGGAGGAATGGAAACGGTTTGCAACCTTAATGAAGCTACCCCCGAGGTAAGAGCCCAGCAGCCCACTTGCAGTGCCTGGGAGAAGGGCTTCTGGCTTGTTGGAGCATCATCTGTAGGAAGCTTTGCTCAAATGTAATTGCCTGACTTGAGAATTAATATCACCGCTGCTTCCCAGCCCGAATGCTCGCTCTAAGGGCGCACTTGCCAGACATTGCCAGGTGTGGGTAAAGTCAACCGGTCCAGAAGTGGCTGCAAGAAGGTGCTAGATGCGAGGAATGGTGGGAACTAACTTGATGTCTGTCCTCTTTACTGCTCCTGGTGCAGAAAGGAGTTTGCCTTCATTTCCTGCAGCAGAGAAGCTGGATCCAGGTGAAAGTGGGTTAACACCCTCATTTAAAGGGCGCTTTGGCTCTCCCTGCGGCCATCCCTAACTGGGCATTAGCGATGCTGGCAGGAAAATGCCGTTCTGTGCAGTTGATGGCACAGCAAGGCCCCTCTCAAATCCTTTCTGACTTCCATTGCAAAGGATCCCCACATTCTTCCTGAACTGTCCCCACATAGCATCACTAACGGATGTGCCACCTCCTGGAGGGGGACTCTGGCCAGGCAATCGGTACTTTGCGTGATGCACAACATCAAGTTTAGTAAGGACAAATGCAAAGTGCTCCATTTAGGAAGGAGCAATCAGTTTCATGTATACCAAATGGGAAGTGATTGTCTAGGAAGGAGAACTGCAGAAAGGGTCATAAATACGAGTCAACAGCGTGACACTTGCAAAAGAAGCAAACATTGATTCTGGGCTGCATTGAGAGAGAGACACACACACACACGAAAAGTCATTCTTCTGCTCTAATCTGTGTAGATTAGGCCTTAATTGGAGTCCTGTGACCAGTTCTGGGCACTGCATTTCAAGAAAGATTTGGAGAGTATCCAGAGAAGGGCAACAAAATGATTCAAGGTCTAGAAAACATGAGCTATAAGTGAAGACTGAAAGAATGGGGCTTGTTTAGTTTGGAAAGGAGAAGACCGCGGGGGGACATGAGAGCTGTTTTCAAGTATCTTAAAGGGTGTCACAAGGAGGAAGGAGAAAAATGGTTCTCCTTGGCCTCTGAGGATAGAAGAAGCAGCAATGGGCTTACACTGCAGCCAGGCAGGTTTAGGTTGGACATTAGGAAAAACTTCCTGCCTGTCAGGGAGGTGAAACAGTGGAGTAAGTTGCCTGGGGAGGTTGTGGAATCCCCATCACTGGCAATATTTAAGAGCAGGTTGGACAGACACCTGCCAGGAATGGTCTTGATGGTGCTTGGTCCTGCCATGAGGGCAGGGGGCTGGACTTGATCTCTCGAGGTCCCTTCCAGTCCTGGTGCTCTCTGATTACAAGAGGTGAGAATCTCACCCGGAGAGTTGGTGTAATAGCCTATCGTCATTACAGGCCCAGAGGTACTTTTCATGACCAGCAGCGGTGAAAGTAACTTTTCTATTGCAGCCCGGGGGCCTGCCAGCTCTTTAAATAGCTCTTTGCTGGCTTATGCCACAGCTAAGCAGGGCACCCACTTCCTTTCCCCTCTGATGTCCAAATACCGCAACTAGGGCTGTGGTTGTAAGACTGAAGGCAGAATTGACTGGTAAGACTCAGCAGCACCAGGGCATCTCAGTGTTTTACCCTTGACGCTGAGACCTCAGCGCTGTCTGTCCAGGTAGGTAAGGTAGTGAGGCATATCCTATACTGAACAGGGAAGGGGGAACCCCAGTGTACATTCAGCCCGTCTTTATTGGCCGCGACCTGCACATGTGCAAGCTGGGGTTTGTCCGCTGCCACTTGACACCTACTTGCCAATCTGGATCGATGATTGGAGCAAAACATTTACCGTGAAGTTTTCCTTCCTTCCTTTCTAGTTCCTGTGCAGTATCAAGTCGGTGCGAGACCAGGCAACCATCCCACCGGAAGAGCTGGTGAGTGAGTACCATTGCTATGTCCTGGGCTTATCAGATATTTATTCCTGGCAGAATTCTGCACCCTGGCCTGCATGTGCCTGCGCCATACACGCTGGCTCTTCCCTGATAGCTGAGGTCGTGCACTTTATGATGAATGGCAGGAAGGGAAAGCTAGGAAGAGCTATGTGCGCTCTCTCTTTTCTCCTGTGATTATAGCCAAGACTGATTTTACTTGCCCATTCACAAAAAAGACTGAGGGCAAATAAAACATTTACCAAGCAGTGAATAAAATGCCAGGGCAGTTGGAACCAAGCACTTCCCAAAGCACCCAGCCAGGTCCAGGACAATGATTAGCAAAACTGTCTGACTTTCCGCAGTTTACAATGACATTCTACTTTTTTTCTGCTCAGTGTTCTGTAATGGAATTTAAATAAAAGGCCAGGATTAAAACGGGAATGCAGGGTATTAGTTACCAAGTGTTTATAACTTCACTCTCTAAATGCTGACTGATTATTGGGACTTGCTTTCTGTATTGTCATTTAAAACAAAATCCCAAATTAATTAAAACGGGTGTGATTATATTGCACTATTTTGACAGAATACGCAAAATTCCGCATTTTGGAATGTGGACTTTTGATTCTTTTGGTGCAGAATTCCCCGAGGAGTGGAAGTTAAGTTCCTCTGTTTTTGCTGGAGGCTTTTATGGATCTATATAAAAGATTTATTTCTTTAGATTTATATAAAATAGAGCATGCTTTGACGGGAAGGGATATGTCCATCTAAATAACTTCAGAATTGGGTACTTCTATCCCTAACGTGTACATTGCGAAAGGGAATGGTGACTCAACAGAATAAGTTAATGACAGAGTAACTGCCCTAACATTGAATTTTTTTTCACATTTGTGTCCCAGCCTTAATATTTGCAACAGCAGTGCCTAATTTTTCCCACCCCGATAGCTACATTTGCAATTTTTCACATGCATTTAAATATTTTTAAAAAGAGAATTGACAGTATTTGCTTCTGTCTGTCTTGATAGATAAACACAAAACACTTTCCCAGCAATAAATACCCACAGTTGATGAGCTTTGCAGTTACAGGGGAGAGCAGCTGTAGGATGAACTAATACTCAGAGATCTATCACAGGTTGTTTTGTTTTGTTTGTGTTGATGGTCTTTTCTTTTCTGACACTTCTTTGTTGGGATGGATCTCCATGGAATGTGATATAAAATAGACATGTTCTAACTCCAGAACCAGTTCATATCTCCAAGGTAGATCCCAACTTTGGTTTATTTTTTTTTAAATTATGCCTTTCTGTATTCTTGCTAGGTGCTGTTAGGAAGTATTAAAAGTAAATGGCTGCTATATTATTTAGTTTTTGTTAAATTGCCAGAGGACTGCACAGATAAATAGCCATAAAATGACTGGCAAATCATTTCCCAGAACCAACACTGGCCAAATAAGGCTTTGGTATTTGTAAGCATGCTCGTGCTGAGCACGTTTTTGTACCAAGTTTTATAAGATGAAATTGGCCAGAAGAACAGGCCAGATCCTGTACAGGCAGTCCCCGGGGTACGTACAAGATAGGGACTGGAGGTTTGTTCTTAAGTTGAATTTGTATGTAAGTCGTAACTGGTACATATTGTAGGGGAAACTCTAGCCAAACATTTCTCCAGAGCTCAGCTTTATTCTCCCACACCTCACTTCCCTCAGTCCTTTATTCTCAAGCTGAGGTGTCTGCTGAGAAAAGCCGCTCTGCGTCTCCCTGGTCTGCTGGGGGGAAGCAGCTAGTGCGGGGTTGCCTCACCCCGTTTGTAAGTAGGGATCCGATGTAAGTCGGATCCATGTAACCCGGGGACTGCCTGTATATAAAAGGTTGCTGGGTATGTATAGAAATTGATTTTCAAGTGTCACTCGTAGCCATTTGAAGGTTGCGGTTGTTTATGTAAATGTTGTACTCTTGAGCAATCTAGCCACTTGTATTCTAATAACTTAGAAAGTGCCAATCCTGAAACTGAAGCCAATTTGTGCTATGCAGTAACTCAAATGTGAGACGCTAGTAAGCTGCACTTCAGAAAAGAAAGTCATTCCTTGAGCCTTTAAATTTTAAAACTTGTCAATTTCATTTTGTAAAAGTTGATGCAAATAGTATGCTCTTTAAACTTCTAAGACCTCAAAGCCTCCTTCAGCTAACATTTGCTTTGAGAAGTTGTTGATCCTTTTATAGCTACGTAGTTTCGTGGCCCTGTTGCATTTAATGTTCATGTGTTTCCCTTATTAATCATCTATCATGTCTATACTGACACATCGGCTACTTACAGACCCGAAGAGAGAGTTCTCTCCCTGGTTAACGTTGGTTTCTATAGAAATGAAGGAAGCTTCTGGCTTACAGATGCTGGATGAACTCCTGGGGCATCATTTAACTGTGGTGTTCTTGTTTGTGTGTCTAGGCTATAAGTTCTTAAAGGCTCTAGAGGCTTTTGAGTTTAGCGTAATATTCCACTTGCAATGTGCTGAGTGGCGTTACGGCACTATAAAAAGAATCAGAGGGTATAAGGAGAGAATAGGAACCCAGAAACTATATAGCAGGATTCTGCTTGATGCTGATGATTTTTTCAGTCTGCAGATTTCAGAATTCTTCCTGAGAGCCACGGACATGCCCGGGATGCCTATTCATTTGGAACAATGGTTGAAAATCTGCTGACATTCTTAAACGATCAGGGTGAGATTCCCCAAAGACAAGGAATAGAATGATTTTATTTTGCTGCCTTCCTTACCACGCTTTCCCGTGTAGCTCGTTCCTTGCATGAATGACCCAAGCTATCCGTTTCCAATAGGAGTCCCCAAGATTCTGCAAGTCCTGCAAAATTCTTGTTGCAGACAAGTGATTGTACATTTCACACTCAATGCATTTCAGAAATGACTTTCTTGTGAGAGCTCTTCCTGTTCCATGCCGTGCTTCGCCGGACGGGGGACTCCTTGCTGGTTGCTTTTCCTGTATAGCTTGCGTGGTAGTCCAGGAATCAGTGACTGGGGTGGGGGGGTTTAATGGAAATGAGGGCACATTGGGGGGGAGAGTGGGGAAAGTTGTCCAGTAACTGGCACCAGGTGTGGCTATTGGGTTGCTGTGTCTGATTCGAAAATCTCACTTCCTCTGTGGCTTGGGTAAATGGTTTCACCTCTATCACCTTTTCCCATTGGCAATGTTTAGATCATGGATTTATATGTTGTAAACCATATTGTGATGGTCAGTGAAAGGATCTGTGTAAATGCAAATTGCTGGGGGTGAGCTTTCCCTGCAATTCTAAGGTAGAAGAAATTGCCCCATGTTTTGCACTTCTCAACTGTCATATGGATTCGAAGGCTAGAAGGGACCATAGCGATCATCTCGTTGGACCTCTGTATAATTTGACTGTTCTGTTCCCACTCGAGTCCCTAACTTGGCCTTCTAGCCACAGGGTTGCACTGGAAGTTCACGTTCAGCTACTAATCGGGACCCCAAATCTTTTACAGTCGCTGCTTCCCAGGGTAGATTGCCCTCTCATGTAGCTATGGCCTGCGCTCTTCATGCCCAGATGTAGACAGTTAGCTGTACTGATGCACATTGTGTTTCCTTGCACCGGTTACCAAGCCATCTAGATTGCTGTGAACCAGTGATTTGTCCTCTTTTGTGTACTCCCAATTGTTGTGTCATCAGCAGGTTTTATCAGCGGTCTTGTTTTCATCAAGGCCATTGATAAGTGTTGAATAGTGTCGGGCCAAAAACTGGAAACAGACCCACTCGATGATTCTCTGTGTAGTGTTACATTTTGCAACCTATCGGTCAGCCTGTTTGTAACTCATTTTCTACGTGCCATATTCATTTGATATCATTTTAGTTTATCAGAATGTCATGTGGTCCCAAGTCAAACCTCTTATCACATTCTGAGTCTATCACATGAACACTGGCTCCCTGAACCACTGTCTCTTTCCTTGCGTGGTGAGAGTTAATAGGAGATCATGACTTGACTTCTCTGTAACACTCGCTGTTTTATAGATCTCTAGCATGTCACCGTATTCATCTGTTCTGTAAACTGAATCTTTCTACTGTCATGTCACGTGGAAGCCTGCCCATGCCTATGCCTCACTTTGCTTGCAACAGCACCAGATGGAACTCCTAGTTCCTGTCCCGCTGTCGTCCCAAACTGGATGTCTGTAGTTTCTGCAGTGGAAAGCAGTGAAAATGTGAAGGGTGAGGGGAAAGAAGGCTTCTCTTGCCCTCTTCACTGAGCCAAGGAGAAGTCTACCCTTGAGACATGGCCTTTCTAAAAAAGGTAGAGGCATATGCCAACTGCAGAGCAATAGCAGGGGCTCTGAATTAGTTTGCTGTCCACCAGCATTTGAGAACTAGCAAGTCTGCAGCAGAGAGAGGGGTAGTGTCTGAGCGTAGTCTGTTCCCGGCTCTGGGAGTGAACCTAACGCTCACTCTGGCTTCAGTTTCAGCGGATATTCTCTCCAGTTTTCAACAGACCTTGCACTGTACACTGCTGAATCCAGATCCAGAGAGTCGGCCACCACTGTCCAGCTTACTGTCTCATGAGTTCTTCAGGTGAGGGAATGCATGTGCCATGTGTCTGGATCTAGTTCCCTCTTCCTCACTCCTGAGGCTCGTTTCGTGTTGAAGGGTGGTTCTTGTTTGCTGCATGAAGTGCAAACGTAATTACCACGCTCATGGGGGTGGTGTTGTGTGGGATCTTTGACCCGGGGACGCCTTACGTTCAGAAGTCCTCATACCACGCTGCTGAATTAGCAGCAGGATGGTTGAAGGACGGGCACTACTGTCCATAGCCAGTGTGATCTCCCCTACTTCATGCCAGTTGCTGACGGAGGTGCCTCTGACTTAGCTCCATCTTGACTTCCAGTTTCTACTGAACTTCATTTCCTTTTCTCATGATAATGTAGGTACCATGCTCAAGGGCTTGCAATTGTCCTATAGCCAGCTCACACTGTAAAAACGGCTTCTCTAACTTCCACTTGTAGACCAGCAGACTAAAGAAGTTACTCTTGTTGGTTTCAATCCAACTTCTAATGGACAGGTGTCCAGATCTCATAATGTTTGCACTCGAGAGAGGCTAAGAAGGGAATGGGCCACGGGGGCTGAAGCACACGGGTGCAGTGAGGAACGCAAGATGCTCAGATTGGACTGGGAGCACTGGCATGACAGTGTCATGTGACTTGATACTCCCCTTTCTTCCATGGCTTGCTTAATGCAGGATGTGGATTTCTGGAGTCGCGGGTTCCTGATGCTTAGCATTCTTTCTCTTTGTGCTCAGGAATGATTTTCTGGAAGTTGTGAACTTTCTGAAAAGTTTAACCCTAAAGACTGAAGAGGAAAAAACAGAATTTTTCAAGTAAGTGAGACATTTTCAGAATTTTGATTTTTGCAGAGAACATTTCGAGGAGGAGGGGGGAGCGGGAGGAGGGCAGAGAGGGAGGGAAACACCTTCGTAATCCAAACAGCATCTCAGTGGCAGGTTGACGGGTGGGATAATACTTCCTCGATCTGTGGTTCTCAGTCTCTTATGCAAAACGTCACCTGTGCGTTGTGATTTTAATGCAATCTCAGACACGCTCCAAGCAAATCCATGGTTAGTGTTGACTACGATGTACCTGCCACCAGCTTTGCTGTGTGGTTGGATTCTGAACAGTCGATTTCTTGGAAATGGTGTTTACGCAATTTTCTATGTGCAGCTGATCACTGTCAGTAAAAATAAATAAATAAAAACGATAGGCAAACCTACCTACGTGAGCAGCAAGTATTTTTACGGCAGAGGTAATTGGTCCCATTGTACCCTGGAAATGAGCTAGAAAATTGGACTGCAGTTACTTCAAGCATGGTTGTCTGAAATCTCAGGTGTATTTTGGAGGTCTGATTGGATTTTCAATGGGAACTTGTGCAAAACCAAGGACAGAAGTTTTCCCTTGGGCGCAGGCTGTGAAGACAAACCAAGTTTTATATTGTCCATAAGCTACAATGGGAAATTAGTCTAGTTAGTTTAGTACAGACAGGGAGAAGCATGATTAACACAGCAGAAGGTTTTTTATATACTTGCTCTACATTGCTGAACTATCCATTTCCTCTTCTGCATCAGTCTTGGTGTCCCGTTCATTGTAATTCTGCTCATTTGATTAAATCCAAGAACCTCCCCCCGTACAAAACGGTTACTCACCTTCTCGTAATTCTTTGAGATGTGTTGGTCACATCCACTCCAATCAGGTTTGTGCATGCCACATGCACGGTTGGTGACTTTCCCTTTTTCACTGCCATTGGGTCAGCTGCACCTTGTCCTGGTGGAAGATTGTAGGGGGGTGTAGGAGGTTAATGCCTTTAACTTGGACACCCTCCTAGCTGATGGGATGGTGACCAGGAAGGCCACCTTCGACGACAAATAGAAAAGGGAGCAAGTTTCCCGCTGTTCAAAAGGGGGCCCTGGGAGTCTGAAGAGGATGGAGTTACGGTCCCATGGAGGCCCGGGTTGTCGGATGTGGATCTAAGCTTTCCAGGCCCTTAAGGAAATGCCTTTCTACGGTTGGGCGAATTGGAAACGTCCAGACGGCCGAGATAGAGGCGGGTTTACCTTAACGGATGATGCTGCCTGGCCTTGGTGTTTCAGGTGCAGGAAATACCCCGGAGGAGTGGCATAGGCATCTGGAGTGGAGGGGTGTGATGCTGGGCACGCCAGCGAGTGGACTTCTTCCACGTGGCTAGCTAAGTGGTCTCTCCAGCTAAGTGGTCCCGCAGTCCTAACCCTTTCACACCCTCTGCATAAGTGATAGAGCCGTTTAAAAAGAACTTTGCAGCTCACTTGTAAATCACCTCTTGCCTCAGACTAAGGGAAGTGTGTTCCTGAGTTGACGTTCTTCCTTGCATGGGACAGTCTTGGTCAGGCGATGCCCTGTGGCTTGTCTCTTACCAAGTGGCAGTAGGCTGACCCTTGGAAAGCGTCTGGGGGTTGAGATGTAAGTGCATTTGAACTCGGGCTAGGTAATGGGCCCTTCTGGCTCCGAACCAAACTCGGAAACAGGTGATGAACAGTTTTATAGAAGGCGGAAATGTTCATCTTCTAGCTACAGAATTTGGTGCTGGCTTGGCTGGCTGGCTGGTGTCATTGTCAGCCAGTAGCCTGGCTGTGAGGTTTCTCAGTGTATCCATTTCCTTATTATTTATTGTTTGCTTTACGGTAGGGCCTCGACTCCCCCATCGGGACTGGGGCTGTATTATTCTAGGCACTGTACAGACCCCATGAGACCATCCCTGCCCCAAAGAGCCCACAGCCTAAATAGAGAGGACATGCAAGGGGAGGGATATTTATTCGAAACTCATTCTGAGACCAAGTCCTAGCCAGGTTTTTAACTCCTCTCTCCTGCCGTACAGGTTCCTGCTGGATAGAGTGGCTGGGGGGGTGGCTTCTACTCAATCAGCTTGTGTTTGCTGAGCCGGTGGCTGTCAAGAGTTTCCTTCCGCATCTGCTGGGTCCAAAGAAAGGTGACAGCTGAGTGTTCTCTTTTCAGAGCAAACGCTGCCCCGTTCGGCGTGAAGCCAGAAGGGTTAGTGAATCGGGGCTGTGGTTTTAGTAGCCGTGTTTAAGCCAAGCAAGGACGGTACGGCCAAGTGCCAAAGAGAACTGGCATTCCAGACGCTGAGGAGCGGCTGCCCAGCGACGTCCCGTTGGCCCTTCGTCTCCCCCTGGTGCTGACAAGGGGATTAACACTTGTCCGAACTCCTTCCATGCTGTGAGTGGCCTGGCCTGGGCTGGGGCATTCGTAGGGCAGCACATGGTATCCCTGGCCTAGCCTTCCGCCCCCTCGCTTGAGCTATGGGGTGGCAGCAGTTCCTCTGCCCCCTTGCTGGCAGGGGCAGCCTTTCTTCCCAGGGGTGTTCGCTCGCTCTCCCTCCTTTCCCCTCAGCTGCTCCTGTTCCTGCTCTTTGCTCCTCCGCCCTCACGGCCCTAGGCAGCCCCCAGCAATGCAGCCAGC